CTGAAATCACCCCGGGGGTTCCCGGCGGCTGGGTAGAAATGTTTTTTCCCTAATAATTTGATCTGTGGCTCAAAAGCTCCTTGGTGCGGTGCAGGGATTGTGCGGGGCTGGGATGATACAGACGCAGGGAACTGCGGGGTGGTGGGGCAGCAGTTCAGCCTGGGCTTGGTTTGGTTTAGTTTTCTTTCCTCTCGGTTGCAAAAATGTGCAAAAGAATCCCAGGCTTTCTCGTCACCTCAGACCATGCCGTTTCTTCAGTAAAGCTTTTGAGGTTTTGGTCAGTCAACGGCAGTCCGGAGGAGTCAGATGTCTTGTCGGGTTTTGTAACCCCCCCGAAGTTACTTGTTATTAATGCGATTCCCTGATGATTTTTTTTTTTTTTTTTTCTAACTGGCGAGCTCTATCAGCATGTGTTTTAAAAAAATAATTTTTAAAAGTACGTGTAAAACCTGCAATTTGAAGTTTAAAATTTTCAACTGTTTGAAGTTATTTATTTCTGGTCTGAGGCAAAACCTTACATTTAAACGTTGCATTTTGTCACAATTTAGATGAAGAAAGGAAAGTTTAGTTCTGAATATTCCTCTCAGAAATACAGTGAACAGGCTTAAAAGAGCATGCATCTAAAATATGTGACAATATTAACTGAAATAATTTCTGCAGTATTTCCCTAACACTAGCATGGATCCCACTGAAAAAGTCCATGTTTCTAAGGACTTATGTACCCTAGGTACAATTCTTTTCTGAAATCGTTGTGTACTTTTAACTAACAGGCAAAAATACATCTCTTCTTTACTTTTACACTTTTGTCCTTTTTTTTTTTTTGCTTCCAAAAAATCGTTCTGATATCAAGCTGCACTTTCTGTGCACATCAGACATACACAGGTTTTAACTTCTACCATGCTGAAGCAGAATCAATAGATGCTTTATTTTTTTTTTTCAGGTGATTTAAATACAATTCTTACTCTTAGCAGCTTTTCAGAAGCTCTCTTATTTCTGCTCTCCATCCACTTATTTATTTTCTGATTTGCCTTTGTTTCAGGAGAATGTTTCCTACAATCAGGGTTTCCTTCTCGGGAGTGGATCCTGAAGCCAAGTACATTGTGTTAATGGATATAGTTCCTGTGGACAATAAAAGATACAGATATGCCTACCACAGGTCTTCCTGGTTAGTGGCTGGGAAAGCTGACCCTCCGCTCCCTGCAAGGTGTGTAGATTTTACTGATGGTCTTTCTTTTCTTTTCTTATTTTTCTTTCCCTTCAAGAAATACCTGCTATCAATCTTTCCACTCTGTTTGCAAACAGTCCTCTGAGATTTTGAGTCCATGCTCAGCAAAGTTGTTTGCAAAACTCTGATTAATTTCTATGTTGCGGAATCGAGCCTCAAATCCTGCTTGAGTTTTGATTTATACTGAGTGGTCCAAGGCATGAAGGATTCGGCTAAGGGCTCTAGGGCTCTTCCCTCTCTCTCTCTCTCTCTCCCCACACACTTTTTTTTTTTTAATGAAGTTTGCATCAATTCAGATAAGAAAGATTAAAAAAAAAAAATACCGATTTATCTCTTGGGTTTGCCCCCGTCAGTGTTTGACCTCATAATTTGAATGAATCCAAGCATCACCAATCCAAGTAGAAATACTACATTACAGTTCAGCGCTGTTTACGCTTGAAATTGTATTATTTCTTGATAACATATCCTGTGTTTGCTAACCAATAATTTTATTCTTGCCTTTAGTCATCTCTTAGACAGCAGGCAAAGTGTGGAATGGTACTACAGCACACAGGTTTATTTTTTTTGTTAAGAAATCATGACATTTTCTGAGATGTTAGGAAAAAAAATCGAGTAAATTACCCCCTTTTTCTAAACAGAAAAAAAGTTCTGTAGAAAATTAATTTCCAAAATCATTCCGTTAATGTAATTAATGACTGGCTTCTTTCTGCATTGGGAAACTGAGGCTACGGCACTAGGCTGTACGGTAGGATGGCACTTTGGCGGAGACCCACACTTCATCGTGTTCAGCCCAGCACTTCAGTACGTACTTAGTTCCTCAAGTCCAGTAAGACTGAAGCACATGTCGAACGGCTTTGCTGAGTCAGAGATATGGAAATAACGTGGATGCCTCTCTGGCTTCAAAGAAACTTTCATGGCGGGCTCTGCGCAGGCACACAGATCCGCTCCAGGTGGCTTAGCCCAGGGTTAAGAACTTGCTTATTACAGAGGCAGAAATTAGAAGTGAAACACAAGAAATAGAAGCACATTTTTTTTTGTTTGTGTGAGTATAGGGACCAAATCCTGCATGCTTTCCTCATATAAATAGTTCAACTGAAATCTTGCTGACTGCTGATCTCTGGAAGGCGGCTCAGGGAAGTAAACAAACATAAAGCGCATGCAGAGAAGCTGTGATTAAAGACAGCAACCTAGGAGTTATGTCGGCTTTGTTTTCATGGCCAAAAACTCCTTCTTGCAATGTGGCTAACGTCTGAGGGCTGCATTTGACGTATTGCAATGGGCACTGATCAAAACCCAAAGAAGTAACACGGATCCTGCTCCAAAGGAGTCAGCATTAAAAGAAGAAATAAGGGAAGGACAGAAATAGTTTTAAGGCAGGGTTTGCCCCTTCTTATTTTTCTGTTCAAGTGTCTTTTGATGTACCTTTAAATAGATTGCTATTTCACACTCTATCTGGCATAGACTAGTTCAATGAGGAAATACAAGAATATAAGACAAGAGATAGACCCTTGAAATAATTAGCAACAGCCCTACTGAATGTTTTAGAGCTGGGGTCAAACCTTCTTGGAGTTTAATATTTATTATCATCATACTGTGGTAGCACTTTGAGGTCCCCATTGGATCAGTGCCCTTATGTGCAAATGTACATCAGTGCTCTTTCATTTTCAGGATATTTTCAGGATGTTTTGCCCCTTTGTGTAAATGTATACCTTTCCTGATTAATTTTCTTTTAGCGGAAAGACCATTGATCATTGCACAGGCACAGATTACTTTTTCTTTGTATGAACGGTACTTATGTATACTTTATGCATTTTCTCCTTCTTACACTCCTGTTGGGTGAGAAAAACGATGTCAAGAGGTTCAGCGTGCTGATGTTTGCATTACTAGTGCTTTTTCTGGAGTATTAATGCATCTTTTGAGGTGGGAGGCCTCAGTCTTGCTTGAACAGATTAAAAGTAGTACTCCTCCCATCTTGAAACGAGTTTAGTCCTGCTCCAGTAACAGGACCCTTAGGTGAAGGTGTGATTTCTTGTCCTCCAAACACGTGGTTTTAGCTCTCCTTACTTCAGGAGTGGCAGCAAGGCATGTATGTGTGCTCAGTGTCTGGGCACCAGTACCAAGGTGCTAACTCCCCGTGCAGATCACTGCCTGCATCTGCATAGGCACAGCAGCATTGAGGGAATTATTGAGAAGTCATGCTGTGCATGGGTGTAAGCCTTTGCAGGATCAAACCCGTTAGATGTTTTGCTCTTTCCATTGTAAAAGTGACTTTCAACGCTAAGACAGCTTTTTTTTTTTTTTTTTTCCCCAAAATTAATAAGTATTCTGTGATTCTATTTGAAAGATCAGCCCTTCAGGGAACTTTCTATAAAAAACAGTTTTATCCCTGTCTTCCTGCTGTCAACGTTTAAGACAAGTTTATGTTGCAACAAACACTTAAATAAAAATACTTTTCAGAGAGTCTTTTGTAAATCTTCTATAGTGCTATCTGGGGATAAAATTCCTACGTGATATCTTATGTCTGTTTTTCCAATTTGCTAAGACTGTGTAAAACATCAATTTAATAAGTTTCAGCATGTACCTTTATTTGCTCTTCTTCATTTTTCACCTCCTTTCTTTCACTCAAATGTCTTTTTTTATTATTTTTATTTCATTTTTACCCTATTTGGCTACCATAATTTGTTTAATTAGGTTACAGTGTTTACATGCTTACAGAGAACTCTAGGCAGGAAACCTTTAAAAGATATTATAATTTGCAAATTATTTGAGACATTAAGGTAATTAAAAGCACCATGCACAGGGCTTGTAGGACCAGACCATCTGTTAAACTAAACAGGAGAGTGGTGTCGCATTCCAAAATACGCAAGAAGGAAGCAGTACCCAAACCTTGCATATATCAGGAAACATTATACACCCTGGAGCAAATTCACATCCAAATATGGTTCCTATAGCCTTTGTGAATTGAAGTGAGCAGCCCCTCGCATCTGGCTGGCCTTAGGCAGCAGAGCCTATGTGAACTTCGGGGAGAGCCTTGTGCGCTGCACTGGAATGTGCACGTTCATTTCTCTAACCTGTTTGCTCGTGCGCACTTATGATCTTGTCAATGACTTCTACTCCAGAGGGCCACATGTCTAGTTTTCAACCCTCTTCTCTGAGGTGTACAAGCTCAGGCTGTAGGAGAAGCATGCGGATATGTGTAGTCCACCAGGCAGAACCACATGCTGCAGTGGCATCCACAGTGTGTAGCCAATCAGTAAAGAAAAGCAAGGTCTAACAATACATTTATGTAACCGACATTCAGGTGCCCATCCTGCAGTGATTTTCCCATTAGCTCTTTGCTAACATTGAGGCACTTTGTAGTTTGAAAGCAGTGCCAAGCACTAACCACCTATGGTGTAAAACAATTGTGCTCAGCTTTTAGATACATGAAGATCTTTATTCATTCCCCAGCACGTATCTGAAATAGTTTGGCTTTTTGGTTCCAATTAGCCAAACCTTGCTGAGCCTGACACTCTGTGATTACAGTAAATGTTATTAGCTACCCAGACATTCAAAATGAGGAGTCAGGCTCAAATAAAATAAAAGAAATCACAAGACTGGCTGAAAAGTTGCAGGACATGTTTGGGACACTTTTTGTATTGTCTTCTCTAACTTGGGGCTCTAAAGATTGAGATTATCAGTTTTTCACAGGAAAGCAAAATTAATTTTCACAAGAGGTGAAATTATTTTGACATAACAGGATCCCAGGTTTTTGGTTTTCAGATACATTGCAATTTTTCATGAGCCTTGCAGTACAATCAGCAGAGTTGGTAGCAGTGAGGATGCCTGTATGCTATGAATATTTTATGGTGACAGGAACCCTGGCTTAGCATCCCTCTCGTGGATGTAGCTATATCAGCCAAGCTGTGGTTTGGATCAATGTAAGGAAACCATCCCGCACATCTGAAGCCAGCTGTGCTAGTAAAACTTCAGTTTCTCTCTGTCTTGGGGATTCTGTTGGCAAAAACAGAGTGCAGGAACAAATCTCCTTCCTCTTTAAGCAACAGAGCTGTGCTCCCGGAGTCTTTAGTACGGGTATTCCTTGATTAGGGATCAGTGTAGTCTATCAGAGAGTTACGCCCCATGGTTTAGTGGTTTTTCCATTTTCCTCTTGCCTAACCAAAATCGTAGCTCAACAACAACAACAAATGTTTATCTTTCCAATGCGGCATCTCAGGGCTGCCCCACCCGCCTAATGGAAGAAATCCATCTGTATGGGCAAAGACATCACCCAAAACAAGAATCAGGCCCTCAGCAAGGGATAGCCAACACCCACAGAAGAAGAACAGGTCTGGTTTGCACTGGTTGAAGATCTGTTCAGCTCTTAATTCACTATGACAAAAGAACATTTGAGTTAAACAATATTCAGCAATACATTATTCCTATAAAATCATTGGTTTTAAATATCCTGGCACTTGTAATTAGTTTAGTCATAATGTATATATATCATTGTATCTACATGTCTTCTGTGCTTCCTTTTCTTCTGCTTAATTTCCTGAGTGGTAGATTGTTAATTACAGAGCTGCAATTAATTTTTCATGTCAGACCACTGTGCTGGACTGCAGCCTTCAACCTCTTATAAACAGACGTCACCACAGCTAACATGTGATCGAGTGCAGGTTAAAATCATTATCACGGCTTAATGTTACATATAAAGGAAAATGCATTTTTATCTACATTCCCCCATTATCTCTCTAATGACACCATGTTTTTTCTCTTGGAGCTGTAGTCATTGTTATTTTAAATGCTTGTTAGTACAGCTGTGGGGAAAGACATGATCAATTTTTCATTTGGGAAAAGACACAACAGCGAATGTTAGTGAATGTCTCCATTTTAGATAACTAGATAAAACAATAGGTACTGTTAGAGAGCAATCTAGCACTCGGACATGGGATTCTTCATTATGTTCCAGTGAATTAAACAGCTCAAGTCATCTGCTTTACTGTCTTTCATTGGCGGTCGTATTTCAGGCATTCACTATCTCATGGGAGATTGCGTCTTGTTCAAGTAGCAGTTCTGTATTACCCTAAGCTCTCAGGAAATCCATGCCCGTGAAACCACCACATATCCCGAGAGCAAGATATTACTGGCTTTTTAGTTTCATATGGAGATGGTGCCCACACACAAGCCAAGAGGTGAGATTTTTTATGCGCGGGCCTTTTCCCTGTGTTTTTTAGGTTGTACGTGCACCCTGACTCCCCGTTCACGGGAGAGCAACTGCTGAAGCAGATGGTGTCCTTTGAAAAAGTCAAACTCACCAACAATGAGCTGGATCAGCATGGCCACGTGAGTAGCCCTCCTGGTGGGAAAGGGTAAAGGAACAGCCGTAGGGGAATTGCTCACTTATGCCACAGAGCTAAGCTTGTGGGAGAGACTGCAATGGGGAAAGTCTGCCGTGACCCTGATGTTACACCTCTCTTGGCCAGCCCTTCATAGTGGAGGAAGATGCTGCATGAAGCTTAAACATGTTGGGTATTAATCTCTGTTGTGGAGGAACAGGTGACTTAAGACATCAAGTTTTTACCTTTCGTAAGGTAGAGCTCAGGTCAACACGAGTGTTCAAATTATGCTCCTATCGCCATTAAAGGCAGAACATCCATTGGGGAGAAGTTCAGGGTGGAGTCGAGCCTCAAAGTATGGGAGAGAAGGCAGTCAGGTGAGCTTTTTTGTTGTGCTTCTGCCCGCATTTTGCTGTGTCATGGCAGTGTGCTCTGCTACATGCACTGGTTACCAAGCTCACGTGAGGCAGTTAAGAAGAATGAGCGTAAAGGCAGTGTTAGTAAATTAATTGTTGGGAAGAGAGGAGTGATTTTGAACTCTGAAACATGTGTAGGGGTAACTAACCTGTAAAGCTGAATAACTGTGGCACACACGGTATCAGAAATCCCCCCTCTAGTGTGGTATTTATTGCCTTTTTGGACTGTGCGAGACAGTGGCTGTTTGTCTGAGCTGTGCTCTGTGCAAATACTTCTCATCCAAAAGAGAATTTCTACTCATTTCAAGACCTAAGAATTGAACCACAGCCACTATCATTTAAAATACATCCTGGAAACAACAACAACAAAAGTAGTTAAAAAAACCCGAACCAACAACACAAACCAAAGCCCAAATAGTTGCCTCTGTGCTGTTCTTTTGTAAAGATCCATCTGTGGGTATATTTTTCTTGAATCCGGTTCACGCCTTTGTTCCCTTCCTGACTAGCAGAGAATGTCTTTTTTTTTTTTTTTTCTTCCCTCTCTTTTATTTCATAATCTGCAGAAGGCCAAAGCTGAAGATTTGTGGGCTCTATCACTGAGTGATGATAGAGCAGTATACGTGCGCATTTAAAAAGAAGCATTTTTCATCATAACAGAGGCCATGTGTGCCTCTAATAAAGGGCTTGCAGCAGTATATTGCAAACTAGTTAGGAGCAGTGCAGTTCCCAGAAGCCCAGACGAGTATAAAAAAGTAGGTCTGAGAAGCTGTCGGGAACAGAGACATGTGACTGAACAAGAAGATGTAATTGTCTCAAATACAGGCAGTGGGAGCACATGATCTGTAGCGTTTGAGATGCACCCTCCTGATTAACTTTTGAAGAAGTGGCAGAGGTGGATCCCATTCTTTATGTGAAGACTTTGGACAGCCGACGTCGATGGAAAGTTTTGCATATTCAGTTAAGAATAAGCCCCAAATCTTGATCCCATGTTGAGATTTGTGTGACAGGTGCTACGCCTTTGCGGAGCATTCAATTTTGAATATTTTGTGGGGTTTTTATGTTCCAAATTAGGGTGTCAGGTTTTGTGTGCTGCCTTTTTGAAGCTATGTAAATATCATCATTGGATGCTCAGTAGAATTAAGGAAGAAATTCATTCTCTGGAGCCTTTAAGGAGGGCTCACTGTGGTATGGGCAACGGCATTTCTAAGCTGGATGCTCAGTAGAATTAAGGAAGAAATTCGTTCTCTGGAGCCTTTAAGGAGGGTTCACTGTGGTATGGGCAATGGCATTTCTAAGCTCCCGTGTACGAAGAGAAGGGGAGAATTGAAATGCCTCCTGAAACCTCTCCCTTCAGTTTGAAAGAGATCTTCTTCACTGATGAGATCTTTTTAATTAACCTGCTAAAATCTTAATTATTTTGATAAGGTGTGTTCCTGAGGAAGTTTTAATGATCCAAAAGACACCTTTGAATACTAGTTATAGGTAGAGAAGCTGGATCCAACCTGATTCTAGTTTGTTCTAGTTGCTTGCTTTCTCCATCCTCCAGAAGATGGTTTTGGTTGTTAAGGTAATTGTGGTGTTTTGTTTGGAGGGTGGTTCATTTCTTGAAAAGGAATCTGAAGAGAAGAGAGGCATTTGTTTATTCTAGCATTTGTTCGTTTTCTCTTATTCTGAGACTACTGGAGTTGGCAAGCATCTCTGCTTGTGTATCTTCAGCAGCATGCATAACCCCATAGCTTTGTAGGTATTCTCCCCAAGCAGCAGGCAGAAGTCTTATGCCTGTGTGCATGACATATAGCTTGCTCCATAGAAACAGTTTCAGATATCCTTACCAGAGGAAGGAAATGGATCCTGTCTCTGGATTTTTACAGCCGAGCGAGTAATTCCCATTTTTCTGATTGTGGAACATTTATGAACGTGATTTTTTTTTTTTCCCCCAGATTTCTGGTGATGTTTTTCATATCACAGACTGCTTCTTTTAGGACTTTTGGTTGCACGGAGTTGGGGTGGCATTGTTTCTGGTTTATGGTGAGGCGAACCATGAGTATATACATTACCGTAATTGCTTTCCTGGCATTTATGATAGTGAAACTCAAAAACAGATGAATGTGTGCAAAAGCAAACACAAAGGCGCGAACATGGCCAACAAGTAGCTGTGAAAGCAGGGGTTTTAGAACAGCCACAAGGAGTTATGCCCAGGGATCTTTTTTTCAAGTCAAGCTGGCAGAAGTTAGCAACCTCCTTGCTTCTAGAAAGCAAACTTCGCCTGGTAACACTCTTCTTTGAATATGGAAGCCACATTCACAGCATAGTTCCTGAACTCAAAGCCACCTCTGGGATTATGCAGCTGGCATCCAGATTGCCTCTGGTGACCAGTCTGTAGTCAGTGGGAGCCAGATGCCTACAAACCTGCCTGACCTTACAGCAAACAGATTCCTGTAAGAATGGATCCTGGTTGTCTCCCCTGCTGCAGGCTGTCAGCACAAATGTAGATGGGATGGCTGGGGGGGCTGTGACCACTCTGTACCACCAGTAAGCATGTGCTGGGGAGCTGTTGTAAGTATACATGCACCTGATGTTTCTCTCAGGGCACACCAGCGTCAGTATTGCAGAGCTGGCATCAGGGATTTTCTGATAACTACGCCATGCAGGCAAGGGATTGCCTGGACTTTGAGACCACCCTTGGGGGCTACTCGGTGAGATGCGATCTGTGTATCTAACTCCTCTAGGCTGTTTTGATGGTCCTAACATAAGAAGTTGCATGGATATTAAAGGGGTATCTTTGTGCAGTATCCTGCTGTATCAGTGGGTGCTGCAACATTGCCAGCCTGTGTGGGGTTGCAGATGGAGCACTACATACACAGACCCTGATGGAAAGGAAATAGTGACCTTAACCTTGGCCGAGGGTCTTTTGTGACCTCCTGGCTACATTCGGTAGTTGTTTTGTACCTGAATGGCCTGACCTGCCTCTGCTGGGAATGTGCAGGGTAGAGCATCATGGCGGGGGATGTTATCCATGTGCACTTTTGGTTTTGGAAAACTTTCATAAAGGATTACATGGTCTTGTTCAATAAATGGAATTTCTTTATCACAATTTGCATTCATAAAGGAGTGAAAGGAAAAGGCATGTGTAGGAGCTGCTCTGTCACAGCTTTTTCCTCCTTCCGTTTGGCTGCTGCTCAGATGTAGTGCCTTGGTGTGGATATCGTGGCCGTGAAAGGCGATGGGAAACGCTGAGCTCTGTGGGCCAATCCCTCAGTAAGATCATCACCATCCACTCACCATCGTTTTGAATGGCTTTTGCAGCTGCTTAGAGCAGCCCAAGTGAGTGTGATGCTAAGACAAACATTTATAAAGAGAGGGAAAAGTGCTAAGGATATTAAAGGCAAAGTCAACAGCCGTTGTGTGTGCACGTATATAAAATGGTGAAGTGCTCTGAGAAAGGACCTGAGCTGTTAAAAGCAGACATGCAACACTTTAAGGACAATGGTTCCCCATCACTGTAATGACTTTCTTGCTGCTGTGTGCCCCCTGCAAAGTCACAGTACAAGTCTAAGCAATATTTGAAACTGAAGGATCAGTGAAGAAAGCATTCATGGAAATTTTAGCCATGACAAAGCTGTCTCTAAGGTCTTCACTCCAATGCAACGTGCAACGTTTCTTATTGAGTTAGCATGAAATACTGCACCATTTCTTCTGTGTTTCAGCTGAAGTTAACGCTTCCTGAGGAATGCACATTAGCTATTCCAGATGTACAGAACTGACTGTAATGTCGTTATGGCCCCTGAAAAATAGAACCACCCACACCATTGCCAATTTCGTCTTGTGACTGTGATTATATCCAAAACAAGGACTGGTGCAAGCCGAGCTCTGTATTTAATTCTTATATTGTAATACTGTGGTTAGAGGCAGCCAAACAGGCCTCCAGCCAGTGGTAACTGGCACAAGTGGGACACGGTTTGACTCCAGTGAACGTTGAAATTGGTTAGTTGGTACATTAGGTTGAGAATTGTTTTGTGAGCTTCTAAACACGTATTAACGAGGCTGAAATGGCAAAACGTGGTCATTTTGGGGTTCTGTACTGGTTTCCCTCCTTGCTCCCATTTTCAGTAGTCTGCAGTAAAGTAGTTTGCTCTAAAAGTTTGCCACAGTAAAAAGATCTAGGGAGTTTTATTTTTGGTCAGCTGGTTTGTGCTGCCAGTTGTGGTGGTTTTTTTGGTTGTGGTTTTTTTTTTTTTCCTTTCTGTTTTTTTTTTTTTTTGAGGGGTTCCTGGCGGTTTTCATTCCGCACCTGCACATTTTTGCAAACGTCATGAGCTTCCAAGAGTTAGATATTTACACTTGCTGCTGACACCTGCAAACTGGGGCACACCCTAGCAATAACAAATTCTGTATGTAAAACATCTCACCTGTAGGAACAGGTATTTATGCTTCAGGAAACATGTGCTCACCAGTGGAGTAGGAGTAAAGGGAAATTAGTTCCTGGGATGCTTGCTTTTCCACCTTCATTTTTTGGAGCTGCCCAAAGGAGCTGGAGAGTTTGCTCTGAAAATCAGCCCCTGGCTAGTTAAATTTCAGCTGTCTCCTCTGCAGTGTTAAATAGATCATTTTTTTTTTCCCCTCTATGGTTTTACAGCCTTTGAGGGTCCTGTTAACCTTCCTCTCAGGACAGTGCCTTGTCACTCTTTCTTGCAGATCATTTTGAACTCCATGCACAAGTACCAGCCAAGGGTCCACATTATCAAGAAGAAGGATCACACAGCTTCATTGCTAAATCTGAAATCAGAAGAGTTCAGGACATTTATCTTTCCAGAGACGGTTTTTACTGCTGTTACTGCCTACCAGAATCAACTGGTGAGTATAGTTGCTAATTTTCATGGATTTAACTAAATCCAACTCTGCTAAGAACTCCCTTTTCCCCAATCTAAACCAGGAAACTTTTGGATATGACCTGCCTTTCCATGTCAATGTCTACAGTGACTGCCCAGTCTAATTCATACTCAGGAGTAATTCTTATGGATATGGATAGTACTATTAACTTCAAAAAGCCATAAGTATTATTCATGGGAGTAAAGATGGTATGAAAGAGGCTTTCATTTGTCTTCCCTTCTGTCTATACAAAGCTGTTTGCATATTATCATTTAGTCATTTTCTAATTATAGCTCATTAAGGAACTGTTCTTATTTGCAGTGATCTTTCACGCCATGAGCTATTAGCTGAGAGATACTCTGGCTTGCACATGATGATTTCATGGGCTTAAAAAGTAGACTAATTAAGCTGTAAGACTCAAATGTAAGGGAAATCACTCAGAGATATGCTTTTCAGAGGCTGCCCAGATTACATCCAGATGTTTGAATTTCAATTTGCATGCCAGTGAATAATATATACAAAATGGAGGAGATCATAACAATGGATTGCTAATGAGTAATTTTAGGAAGTATATAAACAATTGGAGAGCAGAGGCTCTGCTTGACAGCGGATAAAGCTTTAATATTAAAGTCAATGGAAATGTGTTGTTTGCTTCAGTGCGATTCAGAGCGCGCTTTAAGGATTTAAGGACTATGGCACTTAAAAAATACCTCTTTCCCTCTCTAATTTCCCCAAGTTAGGAAAAATATAAGTACTGTCCAAGCATGTGGGCAGGGAGTATGACAGAGTCAATGTACCTGCTGGATTATTTAAAGAAGTCTTCATTTCTTAGTATGAATCAGAAGTAATTAATTTCTAAATGCTGTGAATAAAATGGAACTACTGCATAGGGGACCAAAGAAGCTCTGAAGATAACAGTATTAGTAGTATCAAGTCAGTTCTTATGACAGACCCCACATCTCACTTCTAGGCTTTACTATCAGAATGTGTTGATTTTAAACTCAGGTTTGTATCTGAATGCTGCAGAAAATGCATTCAGCATTTGGCAATCTCAAGACTATAATGTTTGGACAGGTGGTTAGATTTTTCCACGTAACTTTCTGTAGAAACCAGCAAAATAGTAACAGGCACAAAACCAGCTAAACCTGGAATTTATTTCTGTAGGATGGATTTGTGTTTACTGACATATTTACACCAGAGACGTTTCTAAACTAACCTTCCCAAAGCACATACATTGAGTCCTGGAAAATTTCTCAATGGAACATCTCCGGAACCCCTAGAGGTTGATGCTGTCATTTTATTTATGACTAATGAAAATGGAGCCTTTTTTCATTTTTGCCATTTCTTTCAGAACTGTTTTAAGGAGGGATTGATTACATTTCTAGAGGTTATTAGATAAAAGCTAAATACATTACACTTTCAACAAACTATCTCATAATTTAAGATTTAAAGGGCACGCATTTATTTAAACAGTCAAACCACTGCCACAGAGTTGAATTGTAGGTCAGATTTCATTTTAAAATGCTTTCTAGCAGATGTTCTCTGATTGTTTGTGAGACAGTCTCTCAGGAAAAATATGGCCATAAATGATTGTGAGTCTCATCTGGCTTCGATGGATACAAAAAGTTTCTCTTGTGATGTCATACCAAATCTTTAATATTAGGAAAATGGAAGTTTGATTGGTGAAAATATGCTCAAAAGATGAATAGACATCCTTATTACTCTCCAATGCAGTTGGCTCAGTGTGTTGGTGATCTAAGTCAATGGAACTAGTTAGAGCTTGTTTTTTTTGAAGGTAGTTTTCAGAATGCTGCCATTAAAATGTTCACTGTACGTGAGGCACTAACCTGCCACTCTTTGCATCATCACCGTAAGTCAAGGGCTTATAGATATCTTGGGAGTAGAATGAGACTATAACTTGCTGAGCTGTTGGAAGGTTCTGTGATGAGGCTAGTGTTCAGGGTAGTTTCCACCAGTTGTACCTGCATGATGAGACAGCCTCCAACCCTCAGTCAGCACTGAGCTCTCATGATGTTTGCCCAGCTTGTAGGAGCAGCCAGTGAGCTGCAGCACCTCCTGATGTAGTGCCTCGAAGCAAGGGCCTTCCCCAGATAGCTTGCCTTTGTATGGGCAGGGAAGGCTGCAGCCCAGGGCTGTGGTGAGTAATTTCCCAGGATGGCAGAGCAGGTGGGCAGCAGCTGTTCAGTGCATCATTCATATACTGCAGACCAGTAATTAAACACTCAGGTTTTGTCTTTATAAGCCTGTCCCTCCCTCTTTGTGTTTCCCTCCCAGAAGACCTCTTTCTCAGAAGGAAAAGTTGGGCTCAGTTGTTGATTTTTCTTTTCTTTTCTTTTCTTTTTTTTTTTTTTTTTTTAAATTTTGGAGGAGAAGCCATCCCATTTTGAAATACCTTTGTTTGATGAGAGCATTTGATTGTTTGAGGATTTGGAAAAGATCCCTTTTCTTTCTGAGTCTCGAGGGCCGACTATGAAAAATGAGATTGTGACCTCTTCAATACTAGCTTTTTTTGAGGAAAGCCAGGCTGACATAGCCACTCAGTATGAAATGCTGAGAGGTGTTGATTTTCATGGGCTTCAGCTAGACTTGGTGACATTTACTGCCTTGCAGGACAAGCCCTGTGTTGTCCTTTGTCAAGCTCTAACTCCCACTTACAGTTTTATTTTTAATTCTTGGAAGAAGTATAGCTGGAAAATCTGAGTATTTTGATGATGTCTCAGGTTTTATTCACCAAATCTCATTTGGTTGGACAGCTAGAAAATTTCACAAGGGTAATGGTGTATTTTTTTTCCTGCTCCCAAAAAACACAGTGGAAGCCACCACCTACGCCTGAAAGCTTTCACTGCAAAGTTAAGGGGAGCCCTGATGCTTTGGGGCAGAGGGACTCCTGATCAGTAGGTTACTCTGGCAGAACAGAAAGGCTGATGGGATTCATTGGGCAGTTTGTAGCTGTATTTGAAGAAGGGAGGAGAGTTTGGGTTATAAAATCTCTGGTTTTCCAGGACTGTGATGGTTTTAATGGGGTTACTACTTTAACCCAGGCTCTGTCACTTTAAATCTGAGTACTCCCCACATTTTCCCTGCTTCTTCCCTTCCTCAGCCTCCTTACATGCAAAACCAGCTAAACTGCCCGTATGTTATGGCTGGTAGGTCTGGCTGAGAACATTTGTATCCCAGTAAAAAAAAAAAAAAGTGGGGCTGAACAGAAGCGACATGTTGAGGTCTGTAGGCAGTGGCTCCTAGTTTGGGCTTCTATTGGTTGATGAGTAACTCCGCCAATAAGGCTCAGATGTTAGCAGGGTGCTGTGCGTTTCTTGTGGAAAAGACAACCTGATCCATGCTGTTAAGTATTTGGAAGCAGTAATGCTGTACGCGGATGGGTTTCTTCTGCTCTGGGTGACATGAAGGCTGAGCCCGCTGTGCCCTTCAGTCTTTGCATTGCCATATGTGTAATATACCCTGATTTGCCTCCGCAGCTTTGCAGCATCTCACGAGTAGAACACATGCACACACACAAGGAGCATGGAAAAAATCAGCAGTGAAGTCCGGAGGATGGATTGATTAACACTTTGTACGCTGCAATACCTTAACACTATATTCATGTTGCATTGCTCTTTTCTGTGTTTCCAGATAACCAAGTTGAAAATTGACAGCAACCCTTTTGCTAAAGGATTCCGGGACTCTTCCAGACTCACTGATATCGAGAGGTAATGGGGACTTTCTGTTTACTTTCCATGCAGATAAGATAAAGAGAAGAGAGAGTTTGTAGGAAAAGCATCCTTTCAACTCCTGAGAAGCTGTGCATTTTAACGTTATCTTGTTGCATATAGTAAGCCTCCTCCACCTCCTTTAAAAATACTTACAAACTTTATGAAGAAAGAGCTGTTTTGAGTTTTGACATCTGTTCCAGTTGGGGCTGATATAGTCATCTTCCTGAGGGGGCTTCTTGAAGGGGGGAAGGTCAGTTTTTCAACTTCAGAATGAAAAGCTTTTTTCTTATCATGCCATTTAATCCTATTGAGGGCTGTGAATTGGGTCAATGGGAAACAAGGGCAGTGGTCCTGTGAAAAACATCTTTATAGCTCCCCACTGCTCCACATAGTGGAAAAGAGAGAGGGGAGCTTCCCAAAATACACTTCAGCAGTCCCAGACACTGAAGTCAGCAATTATTGCCATCAGGATGAATCCCATAACTCCCACTCCGGCGACAAAGATGCCATTTTTGTTTCACCAAAATTGTACTGCAGGCTTGAATTAGGGAAAAGCTTTATCTGGAAACTGAGTTTTTCTGTGTAGAGTTCATTATAAGTAACTGCTGCCATAGGGAGTGAAGCATTAACCCACAGTTGAGTAGGAAATAAACTTCAATCTCTTGTTAGTTCATTTTTACGATGTCATGTCAAGCAGTTTGGCAAATGAAGCAAATTAAGCTGCCTGCGTCCTTTAGGCTGGAAGAGAACTCAATGGAGATGGATGTAGCACACCCAAATTTTCCTATGAGCACACAATCATGAAATAAAGTTTGGAGAGGCCAAAACACTCTAGGCTCCAATGTGGGGATATCCAGATGTATCTGTGAATCATCTTTCAAGGGTGTATATAGGGGACAAAGTGCTCAATGAAGTCATATCCATACACCTAGAGAAAGTCTTTACAGCTTTTCAAAAGTACATCAATCTAAGCAGTTCCATGGATGGGAAATAGTGATCCATTTTATACTTTACTAGTGACTGGATCATTAGTGATCCATTGAGTAACTTGGTAAAAGAAGAGTAATATGGGTAAAGTAAGCTTGTAGGCTGCAGTGCACACTTGCAAAGTTGCTAAATATTGCTTCATATGTGAAAGATTTTGTTGAAAATGGAAAAACAAAAACAAAGCGGATCTAATTAAAATAGCATAGCCTGTGGTATTGAAAGAGTACTAAGGTAAGCAACATCCAAAGCTCAGGGTTTTATGCAATAAGTAGTCAAGAAAGGACCTGTGGGAAGACAAGAGACTTTGATTTTCACATTTCAGTCTCCTTGTTTTACAGACCGGCGACATCTAATGACACAGCTTTGCAAGGGCTGAGAGACTCTGAATAGATAAGCTGGGAGAAAAACTTAGTTACCTCTGTGCAGATGAACTGACTATCATGGTGCTGGATATGAAGGGAATTTTTCCAGAGGACATCTTATTATAATAGCACATGGCAGGGAGTCAGAAATGCTGAGCATAAACCGCAGTGCCCTTTTGTTTATTGATAAGTGTAAGAATAGAGCCTGAGACAGGCAGCCTAGCCCAGGCATGAAAGTTGCCATGAAAGATAAAGTAGGTAAACATGAAACCTACAATAAATACAAGAAATGGAATGTGGAAAGTATTGAAGTGACATTAAAACTTTGGATTTGAGACTCCAAGTTTGGTTAAGGTCTTACTTTGACTTAAATTGGAAAGCTTAGCCCTGATTGGGGAACAACAGTATTTTTTTAAAAAAAAAACCCACAACAAACAAAAACCCAACCAAACAAACAAAAATCCCCCCCAAAAAACACCCAAAATCTGCTGCACATCACATCAGGTAAGAAGACAGTAAAAGTGTAACACATAAGAGGGCTAGTAAAAGACTGTTTGAGAACTTCCTAAGTTATCTGATGGTCCAGAAATATCAGGGGGTTTATTCAGTTCCATCACTAAAATATTCAGGCAGGTGAGACTGTCATTCTCTAAGTGCCCACTGGTTCTATAGATTTTATCTTGGTGCCAGCAAAATTGCTTAAAGAAAGCTGATACAAAGCAAAAGAAACAGCAAAGCGAGATATGACAACAGGAAGAATTTCTTGCTTGATGTTCATCATGATGTGTTACAAGCTGTAGATGACACATTGAATAGTGCAGCATGACTCTTGCTTGATCTAGTTGGAAATTTGGTTATTTCTAGAAGATCACTGTGTGAGAAAAGCATTTATTTGCCAGGGGAAAGACTATGCAGGGCAAATACACATTTGCACAGCTCTTGAAAACTGAATAGTTACCTAGAAGATGTGACAATACCTTCCGTGCACTGCTTCCTAAGCAGGCCTGGATACAGCACGTGCATGCATAATCCACAGTGCTATGCGGTGATCCTAATGGTCTCCTGTAAAGCATCCTGTGATGTTAGGGCCAAGAGAGCACTCATTTATCGTCAAGTTCCAGCTTTTCCAAATGACCTAAGTAGTGTGAAAGTGTACAGAGCTTTGTATTTCATTTCCAGGTATTTAAGCCTGCTTTTTCCTAAACAGCCTTTGGGGAAGGAAACAAATCAGATCAATTGATCTTTAGAGACCCAAAGAAATTAAATTAGTCTGGAGTCAGTTACTGCACTAAACCATCCAGTAATTGGATTGCTCCTTGTAACTGATTGAAAACAGTCTCTATCTGTAACAATATAGGGAGCTTTTCTTTATAGTAGATCTGAGAGAAAAACACATCTTTTTATGACATGATGACAGAAATTGCACTTTTTTAACCTAATTGGATATGATTTTATAAATATGTGACTTTAACGATTTCAGGCTTCCCATTCTAGATTTATGATCGTTATGTAGGAAATTCAAACTGCAAATGCCTTTAGGATTAAATCTGTTTGCATTATACGTGTTGGAGTTAAAATAATATATGTAAGGGTAGAGAAGTTTGCAAAATGGTAGAGGAGGTAGGTAACACCAAAGCTATTGAAGTGCTTGTGTTTTCTTCTGGTCCTGTCTAAATAGCTTATAACAGTTTCCCTGTACTCATAGCTATATATGCAAAAATTAACAAATGAAAAAAATCTTTGAGTTTGGTATATGTTGAATTTTCAGTAGGATGTGAGATTCCTTCAACAATTGACTGTTTCCATACATTACTTGTGGTAATCTATTTATGGCAATGGGACAGACTATCTGGGGCTATTGTGATTTAGATAAGTTGCTGATTTACCTTTTGATCTTTTTACGTGGTATTTACATTTCCTCTGTTAAAAAGGCTCCTACAGTGGTTGTGATTGGAAAAACTGAACATTTAGCAGCAATGTCAGAATGTGGAACTTAATGTACTGTGGTGTTGACTATGAGATGCCAAATGCAGTAACACGGATAAGCGTGATCTTTTTTAACGGTAACCTTTGAAAAAGACTAATGCAGGTTTTATAATGAGCAATTCACTCTGGAGATAGGTTTTAAGGGAATACCTTTATGCTTCTGTTTAAGAAAAAAACTGCCAAAACCATAAAGGATGCAAAATCAGAACCGAACAGAAATTCAGGCTCAAGATAAGAAAATTTATCTTTTGAGCTGTTGTGAAGAATTAGGCTTTTAAAAATATATAGGTAAATAAATAAAAATGGTAAATAAATAAAACCATCACAATTAAATATCATGCAAACAATCTAGTGAAAAAGGTGATCACTTCAAGCGTGTGAGTCAACAGAACTACTGAATCATAAAATAATGATCAAACAAGAATTGACAGATCATAATCATGATCTGAAAGTTGTTTCTCTATTTGATCCAGTATGTGATAGGCAAGTTCACGATGTGGATGTGTAACTATTAAAGAGAGCTAAGTAAGTACACCTACCTGCACAAGTCCAATAATGCTTCTGGTAGGTAGATACATACTTCAAGAGGCAATATGGAAAAGTATGGCTGCACACCCAAGTAACTTTTACGCAGAGAAAGGAAGGGTTGGGGGGTGGGAAAAGTAAGAGAGCTGCATCTCAGCTGGATTTGCATAGTAATCAGATTCTGAATTTTCCCCTGAGGAACTTCATGTCTAAAATGTGGAAATACATTGTACTGTCTTACAAGGCTGTAAGTGAGATGGATGCTAATGCCTGCATATGGACACTGCCCTGTTGAAGTAGCAGTCAAAGCCATGTACTTAATGATGTGTTGTCCACAGCAGTCCTTTCTTCCACCCCTTACCTGCCCATCCTGCAGAGCTGCCTTTCTCCCCATTCCCACTGCTTACTGCCGGTCTAGAAGAACTTCCTTGACTCTTTAAAGCCCCCTACCAACAGCCAGAAAGATATACTCTGTACAATTCACTCTCATGTCCATGGTTAAGTAGGGCTTTGTCACAGTTCTGCAACAAGTCAAACTCCCCAGCTGATCTTTTATCCTCAGCTAGCTCTCAGCCTGTGAATGTCAGCAACCAGCCATAGGAGATAATCTCCAATGTTTAGGTTGGGAGGAGTGCAAGTCCTGAATTTAGGGAGAAACACCAGGGACTCTGGTACCTGGTGCCATTACAGACGTGCTGAGGTTACTCCAGCCTTCAGCTGCTGTGCCAGAGAAGTAGATGGATTGTCTAGATTTTCTACATCTTCCCTTCCAGACCACTGCAGACGGCTTGGATGTCTTAGGATGTCTAGAAAGTACTACCTGCCTACATTTAGACACCTGAAGCATTCCCTTCAAATCTGGTTCCTCTGACTCTGCCTACTCGTAGCCAGGCAACCGGTCCTTTTTCCCAGCAGAAAGCCCCCCAAACCAGCTAAAACTTCTTCAGTTCCCAAGCTTTTAAGCACTCATAGCCTGGCTTACTTTCCACTTAGGTATTCTGTTATCTGTCTTTTTACTTGTGCAAAATGATATAAAAATGTGTTGGTTTACTAGTGTTTTCTGCTCACCTTATGCAGGTGTAGTGCATGCATAAGGGGAGGGGATGATGTCAGATCAGACCCAGAGTTTCCACCCCC